TTGTGGCACGCGGGCCTCTCACTGTTGTGGCCTCTCCCGTTGCGGAGCACAGGGTCCGGACGCGCAGGCCCAGCGGCCATGGCTCACGGGCCCAGCCGCTCCGCGGCATGTGGGATCTTCCTGGACTGGGGCATGAACCGGTGTCCCCTGCATCGGCAGGCGGACTCTCAACCACTGCGCACCAGGGAAGCCCTGCATCGGATCTTTGTTGCAGCACACAGGCTCAGTAGTGCAGCATGTGGGCTCTCTAGTTGCAGCGTGTGGGCGCTCTAGTTGTGGCGCATGGGCTCTAGAGAGAGTGGGCTTAGTTGCCTTGCGGCATGTGGGATCTCAGTTCCCAGACCAGGGATCGAACCCGTGTCCCCTGCATCGGAAGGCTGATTCTTTATCACTGGACCACAAGGGAAGTCCCGGTGGGCGAATTTTTTAACCCTTTTTGAACCTTCCTTTTATAAAGCATATATGTGAAGCTTCTTTAGAATTAAGTTGGTCCACATAGGAAAAGTGACCGTGCAGTGCCTCACACAGGACAGGCCTGGGGTAAGTAACAGCTCTTTACCGTCACTTCCTAAACCTCACACTGTGTAAGGTGGTGGTGTTGTCATTTAAGGGAGATAAAGAACAGACCGACCTTTAGAAATTCTGATTTGCTGGTGCTGCGGTTAAGAGACAAAACAGAAATGTCTCTGTGGGAGGCCCCCTGACTCTTCACACCGGGCACGAGCAAGGAGACGTGATTTTGATGTTGTCATCATAATCGGGTTTTAGTTTCTTGCTTTCCAGGAGCAGAACCTAATAGTATTTTCAGGATCCTAGAGGCAGTTAGGTTCAGGTGGACAGATAATGCCCTTCCAAACTCTCAAAATACTGATCTGTAGGCTGACATGTAAACGGCGGTAACCTACACCCCTCCCCATGGGGAGTCAGACTACAGCCAGAAAGCTGAGTTTAGAATCAAAGAGTGTCACTGGGGTATTACTTAAGTTACCTTCCTGACCTGTGAGGCATGTCTCTTAAGTGGACAGGAATGATTTAGACAAGGGACAATACAGTTTATGTCGATTAGGTTTCAGCTTTCTTAGCTGGAGTTCAGTTTATTCCAAGTTCCTACTCCCTTGATTGGAGTTCTGGGTGGTGTTAAGACTCCTCATTTGTCCGTTTCCAGATTTTTCAGTGGGTTATTTTTACAAATGGCTGGCATCACTCTTTACAGCTCGACTTGATGCTCACTCTTTTAAAGTAAACCTGTCTCCATACTCTTCCTGTCCACCCCTACCAGCCTGACCAGTGTGGACAGTCAATTCCAGCACAAAGAGAACTGTGCTTGAGGGGTCTCGTGGTGAGGAGGGGCTGAAGTTTCTTTCAGCCGGATGTCCTATATCATAAATGCTTCAAATCTTTGTGCCGTAGCGTCCTAGATTCTAAAGGCTTCAACTGCCCGGGATTGGTTCCGGGCTGGGTGCGGGTCCAAGGGAGATTCTCAGAACCAAATACAGGGCCACTTCCTTCTCGCCACCCTCACTCCTCAAATTCTGATTGGTGTCTGAGTGAGCATGTATGTTCTCCCTCTTCTTTAAATCCCCCAAATCATTCCAGAGATCATATTCAATAAGTGAGACATGTATGTGGAAGATTTACTAGGACGAACTGTTCTCAGTGGTGTTGCGTGGCCAGCAGTGGGAATGAGAGGCGCTCTCTCTGCCATTTAAAGGACCTTGGTCCTCTTTTACCAGTAAGCCTGTACGTGCTTACCACTTAATGAGTAGCTGCCAGTGTGCTCTTCTCAACCACGTGAGATTTGTCTCCAGAGTCCCTTTCAATGTCTGTTCTAGTTATAGAAGCCAGCGTTTATTACAGACCATTCAAAAATACAAACTAACATAAAGCAAACTGAAATCATTGATAGTCCAGCCTCCCGCAGGTAAACACTAATGACACTTTGTTCTCTGTGCAGAGGCTGCTTTTTCTAATAAAGAATGGAAGCATCTTGACCAGCTCCCTCAGTAGCTTGCTTTCCACGGCTGTGTCACGTGGCTCTTTCTGTGTTGGTCAGTCATGATTGGTAACCTGGGCTCTTCTGCCTGAGCGCAAGTCCCCTGGGAGCCGCGGTAGCGCTCTCGCTCGCATCTGTGTCCTTTGGGCAGCATCTGCTTTATCGTACCCCTCAGAGAGCGCGTGTGGAGAGAAAACATGGCCGTAAAGTGAGAAGTGATTGGACACGGGCTGGGCCAGCCCCACGTGGGTTCCGAGCTGACTACCCAGGTGTGTAGATAACTTTCTTTTTCCACTCTTTGTAGGACCTACTAAATGAAGCCAAACAGAGGCTCAGCAAAGTGGTAAAAGATACGACCAGGTACCAAGTGCTGCTGGATGGACTGGTCCTCCAGGTAAGTTTGTAGGTCGGATGCACCACTGAGAGCCACGTCCCTGCAGAGTCGACAGGATGGGATAGAAGCCAGCTGTTTCCCCCGTGTTCTCATTTTAGTTCCTTGTCTGGTCGGGAGATGTGTGGGAGGACGGTGGAGTCTGGCTGGTGGATGAGACTGATGTTGTCTTACTTGTCCTTTGTATCCTCCAGCTGTAAACTTCCCTAATTTGATTTTACCACTAAAATGCTTGCTTTAGATATTGAGGTTCAGATCACAGGCTGTATAAATTTTAATTGTTTGCTGTTCAGCCGCTAAGTACAATATTTGTCCTCAACCTAGTTGATGTAAGACTCCCGCATGAATTTCGTTCCCATCACCAGAGCATTGGGTATATTTATCTGGTTTGTAATATGAAGATCTTGCCATGTTCTCATACTGTGTAGGCCATCTTTGGGGGAATTTAATTAAACAAGAGGACTGCTTTCCCAAACAAGATGAAAGAGTTATGAAGACATTTTATTTGCTGTTGTTTTATTTTATAGTTTGCAGTTTTTACTAATTGTATCTGATTGTGCGTTAATAGGGTTTGTACCAGCTGTTGGAGCCCCGAATGATCGTTCGTTGCAGGAAACAGGATTTCCCTCTGGTGAAGGTAGAGCTTGAAAAAATCCTTTTTCTTTTTAAGGATCAAAATGTTAGGGATGGGGATTAGAAGAGTCTTAACATGTTATAGATACTAACTTAAGTGTACCTGAGCCTCTTATTTATTTTCTTAAACAAATCAAGTTGCCATCTGAGTTAGTACCCTCCTCCTTTTCTGGAGACCTTGTAATACCATAATCTGCTGAAAATTCAATAAAAACAGTACCTACTGGATTGGAGCAGAAGATAGGCAATACCATCTAAATAAAAGAGACAGAGGCGGCGGGAGGGGCAGGTGGAGACGGTGTTTAATGGGGACAGAGTTTCAGCTTGAGAAGGTGGAACGTTCTGGAGAGGGATGGTGGGGACAGTTGCACAACAATGAACGTACTTAAAGCCACAGAACTGTACACTTAAAACTGATCACGATGGTAAATTTCATGTGCATTTTACCGCAGTTTTAAAAAGCAGTGAGCTGGGAGAAGTGGAGGTGTAGGACAGATGGAAGAAGGTTTCTCACGCTGCACTGCACTGAGTGTGGTGTGGAAGTCCCATCTTCGGACAGCACTGTAGGCTCCAGGAGACACGTGAGAATGTTTTCTTGAAGGAACTTTAGTCTTCTTCTGACACGATTACTAGTTGAACAGATTGACACATACATTGGGGCTCAGACAGTATCTGTGCTTTTGTGACAGGCTTATTTCACTTGGCAGTAATGTCTTCGGGGTTCGTTCATGTTGTAGCGTGTGTCAGGATTTCTTTCTTTAAGGCTGAATTATATCCATAGGCCACATCTTATTTATTCATCTATGTGTTAATAGGCATCTGGGTGGTTTCTACCTTTTGAGTCTTGTGAGCAGTGCTGCTGTGAACGTGGCTGTACAAGTGTCTGTGGGGTCTGTGCGTTTACTTCACGTGGATAAATATCCAGAGGTAGACTTGCTGGATCCTGTGGTGATTCTGTGTTTAATTTTTGAGGGACTACGATACCACCTGCCACAGCGGCTGTACCGTTTTACATTCCCACCAGCAACACGTCTGTTCTTTTACTTGAACAATAAGTAGGAATATCTTTGTTTGTACAGACGGTTGGTTTTATGGATACCTGCTCCATAGTTTCTGATAAAACCTCTCTGTTTTTTTTTTTGTTTTTCCAGGCTGCGGTGCAAAAAGCAATCCCCGTGTACAAAATCGCCACCAAAAGAGACGCTGATGTCCAGATTGATCAGGAGGCCTACCTGCCTGAGGAAATGTAAGGGACGTTTCTGCTTTTAACACCTGAGCTGCTCTGGCTGCGCGGACGGCCGTCCGCCTGGCCTTGCGCGTGTCCTCTGGGTGCCCTGGGCAGGATGGCGGTGTGGCCACCCCACGCGTGCCTCGTGCTGCCTCGTGTTGGCGCCTGTTGCTCTCCCCCTTGTTAACCAGCTTCTTATGGCTTAGCTCGCCTAGAAGCAGCATGGATTCTGTACCCAGAACTTGAAGCTGGGTCCACGTGTGTCCTAGGTACTGAGAAAGGTGATCACTCCCTCTGACAAGGTAGTAGCCATGTCTGGCTGGCAGACCCCTTGGTATGGAACGCCAGCACCCGTGGTGCGTCTGCTGAGTGCGGGGACACTCGCCGTGGTTGGGAGGGGCGGTAGGAGCTCCTGGCCGGGGAGAGCCCGGGGCATTTTCCCTGGGCGCCTGCCCGCTGGTCCACCCCATGGGCCAGCATTGTGGAGGCCTTGGGACACACGAATTTAGGATTGCAAGACCTAGTTCTGAGTCCCGATTGGCCTGTTGCTCGCTGCAGGACCTCGAACCTAAATCCCATCATCTGTAAAAGGGATCTGTCTTGCTTGCTTCATAAAGTGAGGATCAGAGATAGGGTGTGTGTGTGGCGGTGCCTTCAAGCTGAGGGCCTGTGGGAGCCTAAGCATTATTGAGCATTGCTGTCAGATCGACGTCTGCTTCTCCACTCTGCCAGGTGTTGGCCACGTAGGGTTGGACTAGTTACTTAGTCTTCCTCATCTCTGACCTGGGATAACAGCACCCGCCTCACTGAGCTCTTGGAAGCTGAAGTGGGGTCACGTCTGTGCAGCACTGACATCGGGGCTCAGGATCCACAGCGACTCTGCTGGTGGGTAGTCAGCGTGTGGAGACCATGCAGGACTCAGCAGTTCCAGTCAGGACCACTGTGCCTGGTGCTTTCTGTTTGGGTGCTTAGAGAAGCAATCCCATACACGCCCTACGTGTTTGAAGGGAAGCAGGAGCACTCACACCAGAGGGGTAGTTATTCAAGGACACCAGCCGTTTGCTGACAGGTGACTGGAGCCCAGTTCAGCCTCTGGAGCCACTTGAATTAGATGGTTCTGTTTTCAGTCTTTGAGATTCAGAATTGCAGGTGAAGGACTCTGCAGATTTAAAGTGGAGTTTTATTCAGTAAATTGGTCCTTTTATCCACCTCTTAAGCCTGTTTCCTGGTTTATAAATGGTGAGGAGACCAAGACTCCAGGTCCCTGGGGAATAGGAGACACGGAAGGGCCTGGACTTGGCGTTCAGGAGTGCCTGGCGCACAGCAGACACCCCCCTTCCCCTGCTGCCTGCGTAGGGACAGGGCCTGTTCAGAGAAACAAAGAGGAAATGGGGGAGGAGGATGGAGTAAGAAAATAATATTCACGTCAGAGCCCTTTAAAATTTTCTAGAGAAAACTTGCAAAATGTTTCCCAGCCTTTGCCTCAGAGCCTGCTTATTTCAAGAAATATTTTGTAAAAAATAGAATTGTAATGTAGCAAAAGAATTTCATACCCTGAGGCTCCTTGTAGTCGGATGTGACCTATCGGCCTTACACCACTGAGGACTGGGTTTGGCACCTGCTGGGATGGAGCCTTTTATCTGAGACACAGGCACTGAGGAGGATTGCCTGTCAGCACCCCTGGTACCTGCAGCATCGGGCCTTTAAGAAGCATTCAGATGAGGACTGTATGTATTGATTTGCAGACTGGAACGCAGTCTTCCCCCTTTCTGTCCAGTTGGGGAGGGCTGGTTGTTAGAGTAACGTAAAATCAGATTGGCACATAGTCACTTGGCAATGAGTTATTATCAGCCTCTTTACCTTAAATCTTCAGAAGCTTCTGAATTAGTTTCAAACTTTTTGCATATGTTTATTGCCCCTAAGAGTGTTGAGACCATCCACACAGCAAGACAGCTGTTCTCCAAGGGAAGAAGGTAATTGTACAACGTGTGTCTGTTTCCCTCAAATCTATAAACATTATTTCCGGTGTTCTTTGTAGAGCTGGCGGCGTTGAGATCTACAACGGGGATCGCAAAATCAAGGTCTCCAATACCCTCGAAAGCCGGCTGGACCTCATAGCCCAGCAGGTGAGTGTGGGGACACGTCTCATCAGTTAGTTGGCCTGTCGTTACTTTGAGAAGGTGCTGCGGAGAACATGTCAACTGGCCAGTATTTGGACTTTGTTGATTCTTTCTACATTTTTTGACATTTTCTTAAACGGGGATTCAGGCATTTAGTGCCATTTGCTGAGAGGATATTGTTTACATGAGGGTGGCCTTGGGGTCAGAACGAGGGCTTTGTGTGTCTAGGATTTTTTTTTTTGGGGGGGGGGGTGGGGTACGCGGGCCTCTCACTGCTGTGGCCTCTCCCGTTGAGGAGCACAGGCTCCAGACGCGCAGGCTCAGCGGCCATGGCTCACAGGCCCAGCCGCTCCGCGGCATGTGTGGTATCTTCCCGGACCGGGGCACGAACCCGTGTCCCCTGCATCGGCAGGCAGACTGCATCGGCAGGCAGCCACCAGGGAAGCCCTGTGTCTAGGATTTTAATGTATCTATTTTACTGCATGTGGAGATGCTGACCCAAAGCCCCAGAACTCCAAACTCCAGCAGGAA